ATCACCACTCCTACCTACTACTATTGCTCAGCCATCAGTTGGCCCACACGGAATGTGCACGTGCAGAATTAAGCAGATTTTTAGCCCATCATTGATTCTGTTTATTTACTTGTGTAAATGTGTGTCAATTTATATTTATTTAGTTATTTTAATCAGTTATAATTATTGACTAATATGAAAATGTTCATATGATGATTTATAATGCAGTTTGTTAAGTAATATTTTCTGTCTTTTAGTAGAGATATTATATAGAAGACTTGCTTTGATTACCAAATAAAGTAGATCTAATTGGATTTGCTTTGCAAACATTAAATACAAGTTAAAAAGTATAACTTTTAATTTCATATACAGTTGAAGTCAGAATTATTTGCCCCTCTTTAATTTAATTTCGTTTTAAATATTTCTCAGATGATGTTTAACAGAGCAAGGAAATTTTCACAGTATGTCTGATAATGTTTTTTCTTCTAGAGAAAGTCTTATTTGTTTTATTTTGGCTGGAATAAAAGCAGTTTTTAATTTTTTAAACACCATTTTAAGGTCAAAATAATTAGCGTTAAATTATTTAATTATTAAAATTATTGGAGTTAAGCTATATATGTTTTTCTTTTATATGGAACAAGCCGTCGTTATACAATGACTTGCCTAATGACCCTAACCTGCCTAGTTAACCTAATTAACCTAGTTAAGCCTTTTAATGTCACTTTAAGCTGTATAGAAGTGTCTTAAAGAATATCTCAAGAAAATCTTGTTTTTGTGCATATCTATAATATAGTATTGTTATTATTTGTTTCAGCTGAGAAAAATAACCCGTGAGGAATCATGCAACACCACGAGCCACTCATGTTCATGGGCTTCTGTGAGAACGATCGATATTTTCTAGATGACGAGCCTCATGTGAGTGTTTCAACACTTTTTGTTGTGTTTACATTTAGTTTACTAGGAGTATGCAATATGATAATATACATTTAAGCACAAAATAATTAGCCCAATTAAAATTTAAATTCTTCAAAATACTAAAACATTTCCTAAGTGATGTTTAACAGAGCAAATAAGCTTTTTGCAGTATTTCCTATATTGTTTATCCTCTGTGAAATATCTAATTTCTTTTGTTGTAAGTCTTATGTCTTGCTGGAACAAACAAAAAGAAGTAAAACTGATTAACATGTACAGTACGTGTCATCAGAGGGAGAAAGCCCCACCCACTAGTGACCATCTCTACATCATTAGCATCGACAGCAGCCCTGAGTGAGAAGCAGCCGTCTGTCCATTAGCCATTAGAGTGTTTGAGCTGCTGAAGATAATGTCAGCATAGACTAAGAGGATTATAGATTATAGGGAGTTTTCCGGGATGAATAGCAAAACGAGAGGGTGGCGGGAGATGGGTCTGAAATGTAAAGGCCCGTGCACACCGAGACGTTTTTTCTTACGTTTTCCGTCGACGTTTAACGCCTCGTAACTAAATAAAGGGCGTCAATGTGATCATGCACACCAACCGGCAAAACGCCAGGTGCAAAAGCGTCATTAAAAAAAAAACGCCTCATGCTCGTTTTTTTGTTTTGATGCGCGGCGTCAAAACCTTCTCCACCAATCAGATCGGCACCTTTGTTCACGTGCACGGAGCTGCTGAAGTTACCGTAAACCGCACTTGGAGGCGCTCAAGCGCAAAACTGTCAATGTGAGCGCACATTGAAGAAGATGCCCAGAGGCGATACGAACGTGGAGCTGCTTATTGCTCTGGTAAACAATAATCATTTCTTTATCGCTAGAGCTGGAGCTGCTGCTTGAACCATCCATGCTTGTTCGAGTCACCAGTAAGTTTAACAACATGCGTGCGACTGTGAACTTCCGCTCCTCCACTTCTTCTGTGTTATAACCGGGTGTCTGAAGCTAATAGTTGTGCAGCGCCATCTAACGTCAAAAGAGTGATTTACCATACTCTTCTGCTTGATGCCAGTGAAAAGCGCTTAGGTTTGAACACTGAAAACGTCTCGTAAAACGCTGACGATAAACGCAAACAAAAAACATCCCGGTGTGTAGGAGCCTTAAGAGATGGGTCTAAAATCCGAGAGACTCCCGGGAAAAACAGGAGTGTTGGCAGGATTGCTCACACACACACTCTGCACTCTGACTACTTCAATATTGTTGATAAGACGTGGTGGGCATTTCACTCTGTCTCGTGCTGAATGCTGTCGACCAATAGCAACAGACTGTCATTGGACCAATCAGCGCAGATTTGCATCGCGCTAAGGGAACAAATGAATCGCTGAACGAATCGTATAGGAGTCGCTGGAATAATTAAGTAAAAAAAAATGTATATTATAAGACAATGACAGTGTTTTTTGACCTTGCATGCAGATCAGCCTGTTGTTGGAGACCCCCAAAACCAAAATATGACCCTTTTTAATGTATAATGACTTTTTAAAGGGCCATGAAACCCCCTCGTTTCAGCAGGGTGTTTTCACACCTCTACTTTGGAAAAAGTCAGAAAAGTGGGCGTGTCCAGCTCTGTTTAGGGGGGAGTGTCGGAGGAACTAAAGTGGGATGGTGTGGGAGTGTCTATTTGGGCACGCGCGAGTTTCAGTCAAAATACACACACATGAGAAAGTGATGGTGTTTGACCTACATGGACATCTGTAGTCGAATTATTTGCCAAATTATTAAATGTTGGACTTTATCTGCAGTTTGGCTCTTTCATTCAGGGAATTCATTCATGTCCCTCCCGACAAACGTGATATTTAATTCGAGGATCTGCTCTAAGCGTGTATTTTTCATGCAATGTTTGATACCGCACGGCGAATGAAAGAAAAAAAAACTTAGCATTTCCCGGAAACTTAGATGCACACGGCAGGTAGCGTCAGAAAGCCGCGTGTGTTATTCCGGTAACAAAATGCGGTGCTATGTTTGCACTCAGTGCAATAGTTAACTTAATTCGATACGAACCAACTGAATAAACAAAGAGCACTGGTCGCTCACCAAATCTGTAGAGACAGGACAATCACCAGCAACTAGAGCCGCGTCTTTATGAAGAGGAGACTAACGTTACAAGCGAATCCGGATTTCAACGTTTGCAGATGAGAACAGCTCTCAGGTAAACAATGTTCCTCCTTAGACACGTAAGTTATTGTTGTCGAGCGTCGCGTACACTGTTAATCCACACGTGATCCAGCTGAGCTCTCACAGAGAGAAAATGAAAACGAAACTTAACTGCAGCAAACTATAAAAGCAACACTTCACGCTTGTTTTGCCAACACAACGTGGGGTCTCTGTGGTGTAAACACGGTGACACTAATGAATATTAATGAAGTTGCACAATAGAGCGTGCTGATTGGTTTGAACCAAGCCTTACTCATGCATTAATGCAACACACTGTAAGACGTAATAAGACTCACTCTGGCACAGACGCCCAGTCTGCACGCTGGAATACACGCTATTATGTCATGACCGTGATGCAGCTTCAAAAATTAGTTTCAAACAGGAAGTACGAATTTGCTTGAAATAACGCAAAAACAACCAATTTACACTTTTTAGTGAAATATAGGTGTCCTACTAGTGTTTTTAGCAGTGTGGGACACGTATACGACTGTCAACAGCTCAAAACATGTGTTCTGGTCATAATTGTAATCACGATTATTCAAAACGATTATCAGTTGAAGGCAAAATTATTAGCACTCCTGAGATTTTTTTTTGTTAAATAAATATTTCCCCAATGATGTTTAACAGAACAAGGAATTTTTGCAGTATTTCCTCTAATATTTTTTCTTCTAGGCTTATTTGCTTTATTTTGACTAGAATAAAAGCAGGTTTAAATATTTTCAAACCCATTTTAAGGTCAATATTATTCGCCCCCTTAAGCAATAAATATTTTTGATTGTCTGCAGAAGAAACTACTGTTATACAATAACTTGCATAGTTACCCTAATTAAGTCTTTGAATTGCACTTTGAATCTAAATGCTTGTATTTTGAAAATAGTCTAATATTATTTGCTGTCATCATAGCAAAGATAAAATAAATTAGTTATTAGAAATTAGTTATTAAAACTATTATGTTCAGAAATAAGTTGAAAAAAATCGTATTTCCATGAATAAGAAATTAGGAAGGAAAAGTGTCGCTAATAATTCTGACTTCAACTGCATATATACAGTTATTTTCCACCCTGCAAAGGAAAGAGAAATAAATACAATAGAATAAAAATATGAAACAAACTGTGCTTTAAGCATCTTCACTGTAAGAAACACACTTTAGCTACAAAAGATGTGTGTGCGCTCTGCTCGTCTCAGTGCGCGAATGAGACCAAATGCTGACTGCATGCTTCTGTGTGTGCACGCCGCACACACACACATCACCATGCGGTCTTTCGCGCTGCTAAGTTAATAATCGTTTATCTTGATTAATGGTTTTTCATAAAAATAATATAGAAGCTAAAATCGAAAGCGGATTTTCGATTAATTGCACAGCCCTATTCATTTTGCATATTTAAAAATGTAACTCATTAAATTTATATGAAAAATAAAATTTTCAAATTCATATTTTTACTAAATTCACATTTTCATTTAGTCTTTATTCTGTTTATGATGTGTAAGTGAATAATCAGTTTGTTTTAAAGTGTTTAATTGTGTATGCATGCATGTATGTATGTATGTATGTATGCATGCATGGATGCATGTATGTATGTATGTATGTATGCATGTATGTATGTACAGTATGTATGTATGCATGTATGTATGCATGCATGCATGCATGCATGTATGTATGTATGTATGCATGCATGCATGCATGCATGTATGTATGTATGTATGCATGCATGGATGCATGTATGTATGTATGTATTTATATATATTCTACTTCTTTTTTTTAAAGAAAGTTTTTTTAAAGTTCACAAAGACCAATGTCCCCATAGCTGAAGAAACTCTCTCAGAAACAGTTTTCTTTGTCATTCTTTGTTAAAGGAACAGCATATTCATGTGACGTATTGAGTGTGATGCAGTGAATTGTGTTGAGGGGTAAGGCAGCAGACGTGGGTGGGGGACTGAGGGGTAATTTTAACCATGAGCGAGAGATTTAGAGACAGACAGAAAGAGAGAGAGAGAGGGAGGCTGCGCTGTACGGCTGAGTGGCCGGATCCGTCAGCAGGGCTTTTCTTTGCACTCAGGGATCTTGGCTCGCAGCCCGACTGGCGTTTTTGTAATCAAGGCATGATCCGGGACTCCATGCGCTTCTTCCCTGAGCCGCGTCGGCTGCCTGCCGCTTGGAAATATCCCAGATTCCCCTGCTGACATGAACAGAACTGTGAGTGCCACTGTTTCTAGCTTTTTCTCCTGCGCTCGCACTCTTTCCTACACATTATTTCTGCTCTCCGGATCCTGCGCACTCCTGGATAAATAAGGATGTAACGTGAGCTTTGCTGTCAGACGTGCGTTTGTCTGGAGAACGAGGCCTGGGTTTGGGCACCGTCAGCTGATAGTTGTGTTATTTGACATGTGATCTGTGCAGATGAGTGGGAAGCGCAGCTGGAATGTTCCCTGTCTCTTTGCAGCACTGATGATTCACGTTGGCTGGATTTTCCTGCGTGTTTTGTGCCTCTGAGAGGTTTGTTTTGGTCCCCTGACAACCAAAGTCACTGAGCGCTGCACACTTGCCTTTGCTTCTGTTTAGACTTTTATTTTATTTTTGCGATTAACTGCTGAAGCTTTTATCATGATTATGCAAAAGCGATAGTTAAACAGGTATGATAACTAAAAATACTTCACTGTATAAACAGTAAAGGTCAGAATTATTAGCCCTCCTGTGACATTTCAACTCTTTTAAAATTATTTCCCAAGTGCTGTTTAACTTATAGAAGATTATTTTAACAATAGTTTTAATATTTAATTTCTAATAACTAGATTCTTTTGTTATCACAATTTTGACAGTACCTAATAAGGGTGTCACAATTCTCCAAATCCTCGATTCGATTACATTTTCGATTCTAAAGGCACGATTCGATTTTCGATTATGAATAATTAATTAATTAATGACCAATTAATTATTTGTAGCCTACCGTTTAAACTACCTGACCTGCATGGTCTTTGTTTTACCCATAAACAAATCATACAGTAAATGAATAAAGGCAAGATACACACATAATTACCACCTGTCAATCACTTTTTCTGCGGGACTCGTGAATAGGCAGTGATCTGTGTCGTTATAATGGCGTCGGTAAAAAAGACGCACAACCAACAGCAACCAGCCAACAGTATCTGAGGTGTTCGCTAAAATGACTAAGTACAAGTGAGTGAAAGATTGAAGCAGTCCTCTGACTGCCTGGACCTGCTGTCTCGAGCGCATGGCTGTGTGTGCGTCTGTGTCTGTGTGGTCACGTGATGTGCATTTTCAGAGGTAGAGAGGAAGGAGGGCTGCTCAGAAATGCCACACGCCAGTGTGGATGTCAAATCGTTGTCGTTCTAAAATGCCATTTAAAAACAAAGACAGTGTAAACAGGGCCTGAGTGTGAACTTTTCGTGAGCGGATTTGCAACGGGGGCGGGCGGAGGATCGCGATGACGGTGTTGTCTATCAGACGAACCGTACGTAATACGTACATAGCAGAGCTTGCAAAACTGTTTTTTTTTTTGTCGACAACACGAACGTTGTCAACATAACTCACTGGAAATCCAAAATGCTTCCACACCGGCGACTTTATTGAAAGAGGAGAGGGTTTAAGCTCTGTCGACGGGTCTCCTGCTTCTGCAGTTTAACAAGCTCTTCAACAAGCCTGTTTTTTTCCCGCTTGGCAAGCCAAGCTTATGTGACGTGGGGGCGTGGCAGCATCGACGATTCTATTTTTTGATTCGATAATCGAAATTGAGCATAAACACCCCTAGTACCTAATATTTTTTATTTTGTTATTTTGCAAAATGCTAGTATTCAGCTTAAAGTGCTATTTAAAGGCCTAACTAGGTTAATTAGGTTAATAATGCAACTTGCATTGGACAGCAATGGTTTGTTCTGTAGCCAATTGTAAAAAAAAAAAAAGTCTTAAAGGTGCTGTATGTAAGTCTTTGACTCTTCTAAAGTATAAAAATACCATAATATGTTTGCAGATATTTCGGAAACATGTTAAGTGAACATTCTTGTTTATCTGTGAAACAATGCTAAAGTCAGATATTCTGCTTTGAAAATGTGTATTACGTGCCGGAATTTCTGTCTTTGTTTTGGTTCTTTTAACTTGCTCAATGCCAGATTATCCAACTATATGACAAAGCATGTACCTGCGATCGAAAACGCGACCTCCGGTGGACAGTAGCAGACTCTAAAAAGAGACGCAGAGTTCCACATGAGATTATTAAATAGCAAACATTTAAATATTACAAATGTAAACATTAAGTGTGAAGGTTACTTTGTAACCCCGTGTCCTAACAACATGCTACGTGACAAGATTTGCAGTGATATGCAGTTTGGCTGTGTGCACTAGACGAAACATGACAGAAATGTAAATACAGCCATTCAGAAGCACAGAATAGTGCACTCACTGCACTCCAGCCAAATGGTAAAGTTTATAATCTAGTTAACACATATTAAGATTTTTTAACATGAATAAATGTAGATGCTGAATCACTGATGTATTGGTTTACACTGAGTCACAGTTATGAAGTTAAGTTTCAGATGGTTTATTTTATTTTCCAGATCTGAGATGAACTATCTGCTGCTGATTTCAGTAGTATGGAAATAAAGGTCATGTAAAACAACATTCAAACTCGCATTATTAGCATTCAACACTGAATAAAGTGGTACCTGAGGGGGTCATAGTTTACAATGTTGTTCACTTGTGAGAAATAGGAACCATTTCTAAAATAGAAATTTGAGGTGTTGCTTATGACAAAAACTCATTTTAGTATAGAAAATATTTCTTCTATTGCGTGCCGTTGCTTTTAGTTAGGAAATGGTTCAAATCATCCCTAAATCAGCCTTTAGGCTCGATAGTCAGACACCCTCATGTCAATCTGGCAACCTGCACTTGCCTGGGGTCCGTTCTTCGTACCTCGCTTAAATGATCTAAGATTATTTGGCAGATCCTGGATCTTTTAATCTTGATAACTGATCTCTGGCTAATTTGGTTCTTCAAACAAGTTCGCGAATCAGATTAGAATGTCTGGATGAACTGATCTGAGATCGCTGCGTGTGTTGTGAAGGACAGATCTATCGATCCTCGAATTCATGATCAGCAATGCAATGATTGGCTGACGGCACAGCAGCGTAATGACATCATCTGGTTAATATTCAATTATCCATGTGAGCAAAATTACATCAAATTAGCAGCAAACGGTTTGTTAAATATGACACGCAATAACTTTCCACATTTGTTGTGGGCTGCAGGCTTTACACTTTCATGTGTCAAGACAAGAGTATTCATCATGCATTTCAATGCAAATCAATGTATTAAGTTCTACATTTAGAAAAGATTTTCTTTATAATAATATCCGTTTTTTAATCGGTGTAAAGAATAACTGGTTGTTTACAAAAGCATTTTGATATTGGTAAAGGTGTCTGCAACTTTTGTGAAGCATCCAATCACTGGCATATTAACTATCAAAACATGTTTATGACTGCATAAATGTATTATTGCTTTAAAAAAAAGTCACATATTGTGCATTTCTATTATAGACAATTTGTACTAAGCGATCTAAAAAGTTCATACCAATAAGTTTTCTCTTTGCACCACCAGATGGCAGTCTTTGTTCATTTCGACGGTGCAGATTGCATACGTTTTATTAATATGTATAACTTTATTTATTTTATTAATGACTTTAACTTTATATATATATAGTTAAAAAATATGTACCATTTTCCCAAGTGTATATAACTACTACTGTAAGAAAATATAAGAATTCGGAACATACTTACTGTACTATCTTAGCTTGAACTGAGCCGATCTAATCCTGTTTATATGAATTGAACCTGCTCCCGATCAGGTTTGACCTAGCAGAACTGTTGCCATGACAACAACTCTCGGATCAGCTTTGAAGAACGAAACGATCCTGGATCATGTCAAATCATCAATATCCAAATCCAGCTAACTGAGTAATCCACGTACGAAGAACGGACCCCTGGACACGCCAGAGGAGGAAAATGTGTTTTGATTCAGGAGTGCAATACCTAATTCAATCACTGGGTGTCAAACTTACATACTACATCTTTAAAAACTTTTCAAAATATTACTTTTTAAAAAAGTATTATTTATTTATTTATTTATTTTTACATAAATAAAACTTTTTTCAGAAGAAGGAATCTACGGAACCCCGGAAGGGACGTAGTGGAGGAGAAAAAACTTGGCTGGGTGATAAAAAATAATGGGTGAAAGAAAAAAATGGGTGGGAGGAAAATATATATTTCTAAGTTTTTGAGTTCTCTCGCAAAGTTTTGCGTTCCCTCACAAAGATGTTTTGCGTTCTCTCGCAACTTCACTCACTTAAACCCTCCCGTTTTTGCCGAAATTCTCCCATATTTTACCAATATATCCCACTTTCTTTACATTAATACTGTGCGTCAATCATCGCCTTTCATAAGCAACCTCTGAAGCAGTGAACGCATGTATAAGCGCAGACTGACAGACGCGCTCCGTACAATAAACTGATCCCAGATCAGCTTCTGTACACGCCATTTACAGAGGAGCGTTGTGTATGTTTAAACAGACAAATACACTGAATAATATGTAAACATCTCCGTCCTGCTGCATGTTTTATTTTAAACAGCTAATTTTCTTTTAAATGAGCACAAACAGTTTCTAAAGTAATGGAATGCTTCATTATTGATCTGTGCATTCTTACAGTGACACCTCTGTTATCAAGCTAAACAAAACATGAGATGCATTTGCTGCGCACTTGTTTGATAACAGAGGTGTCACTTTAAATGGCGCGTACAGACGCTGATCTGGGATCTAATTATTATCTCTTTCACTAACTGTATACTCTATCTATATTCCTATGCAGAAAAAATGTGTTTTTCTATGTGAAACACAAAAAATGTTATTTGTTTTTCAAGAACGCTTAAGCTCCTGATTTCCATGCACTACTTAATTATGATTTAAAAAGCGCTGGTTTAAAAAGCTTATTACTTTTACAAACCGTAAGAAAAAAACAAAACGAGGCATATAGCATACATTTTTTAAGGAGAGAATTGTAAATCATATTTTACATGCAAATCAGATTTGCTTTCCTACAGTAAAAACAAAAATAAATACTTTAAGAAATGCTTAAGCCATTTATACGTCTCGTAATCTACTCAAGTGACCTTTTATTTTTAAAGCCTTCT